TGTTTTCATTTTTATATCTCATCAAGAAACAGTAAAACTTTCTCAGCTGGAAAGCCTGTTTAAGTAGAGGCCTGGTTTCTGCTCATGTTTTTTATCCCATCGTTCCTGGGAGAAGGCAGTCTGCCCTCCTGTTACCTACATCTATAGGGTGAGGCGACAGACCGCTCTTGATCTCTGCTACTGAAGTTCTCCTACATATGGAAGAATTCTATATTCATAAGGCCAGAAAGCAAGTGTAACTAGAGTTCAGGCACATTCTTCATGGTGTATGGAACATATATAGCACCTTCTTTTCCAGAAAAGACTTGGTTTCTTGATTCCTGCTCCATTAAATATCTCTATAACTACTTACTACGACATGTATAAAGGTTGACATGACTGAAGGTTTCCCACTGTCCTAACAACTGTACTACTTATGCTCATTGTTGACATATCTCTGTGACTCAGTATATAAATTGATTATACCACAAAAAGTTTCAGAAGAGCAGACAAAGAATATCTTTATCTTAAGGGTGGGTGTCAGGAGGATGGGGCCAAACTGTTTTCAGTGGTGCCCAGTGACAGGACAAGGGGCAATGGGCACAAACTGAAGCACAGGAAGTTCCATCTGAACATGAGGAAGGACTTCTTCACTTTGAGGGTGATGAAGCACTAGAACAGGCTGCCCAGGGAGGTTGTGGAGTCTCCCTCTCTGGAGATATTCAAGACCTGCCTGGACAAGGTCCTGTGCAGCCTGCTGTAGGTGACCCTGCTTCGGCAGGGGGTTGGACTAGATGACCCACAGAGGTCCCTTCCAACCCCAAACATTCTGTGATTCTGTGAATATCTCATATAAGAATACACTAAATTTTGGCAATTAAGGAACAATTCTGCTATGTTTTCAGGTAGGGAAGGTATTTTAATCTGGTTATCTCACAAAGTGAAATGTTTTTAGGAAGCATTAGTTGACTGGGCGCCTTGCCATCCTATTGTTTGTTTTACAAGAAAGGCTTGGTGCTGCCCCCTAATTCCAGGAGATGAAAGCACTGGAATCTGAGAGGACTGACATTTGAACCCACCCTAACTACCACGTTCCTATCCAGTCAGTTAGCTTTTGGGTGTCTCGTTTTTATTTGCCTTACTCCTCCCAAGACTCTGTAAAGAAAAGCTGCACTTAAATCAGGTGTTCAAACACCTAAAATGTAGGCACTGCTCAACAATGCAACACCCAAGTGATTCCTAGCGGTATAGGCTTAGTGCAGTGTGTTTGTACTTAACTGTCCGAATTGCTGCAATTATCTTTCCATGTTCTTCACTTGCAACAGACTGGAAACTGTATAACAGAACAAAAATAAAGTGAGAAGTAAAAATTAATGTGAAGTTCAGGATATAATTATACCTTAACTTAAATATTCAAGTCTAGACTACATGTTAGCCTTTTGTAAATTATGCAGTTATTGTCAGGGGTTAATGCATTAAACACTTGTTTTGTTCGTCTTCCCCTGCGACTGTAAACATCAGATTTTTCACACAAGGGCCAACAACTAAATACTGAAATGAGGGAAACTACCATACCAATCTACTTTTACATCACATACTTATCATCTTCTTAAAGCCTTGTACTCATTTAGATATTGATGTAAAATGTCACCTGAAAGTTTCACACATTCTATACTCTCGAGGAAATGGGTATACTTTTTCAGGGAGAACTCAGAACAAGTGAGCTGCCAGTGGTTTCCAGTACACATGAGACAAGGTCAGAGCAATACAACATATGGAGTCACAAAGGAAAATAAGGTTACTGTATGCTTAAAATAATGCCAAGAAAACACCCAAAATGAAGTAATAACTTATTACCTTTCATCCCCTGTTGCATTGCCACTTGTTTCAATTTTACGCCTTTCTTGTAAGCTTTCCTGAATAGCTTGTTGGGTAGGGATTTCATCATCAGAATCATCATGGAACATATACATAGAATTATACATGGCAAATCAGCACAACTTGGATCACTTTTCCCAGGGAAACACTGCTTTTTAATTGGAAGCAAATGTTAAATCTTCTGGTTAAATCTGGAGTAATAGAAATAGTAATCGCTGTTTAAGTATCAGAAGAAATGAAACATAGTTTAAAATACATGAATTGGAACTTCTCCATCTCAAGCTCCAGCCTCCTCCCAAGTAATTAAGTTTGTGCTGCAAAGAGTTGCTCTGTTCAGAACACAGTAAAGGTTTTCTACTCCAACAGCTTTTATCTCTGTTCCACAGACTGAACATACACAACAGCTACTTGTTCTTGCATTACTTATTAGAAAGCAACAAAAATAAGTAAAACATAGTTTTTAGATAAGTTGTCATTCCCTCTTAAGTCTTTTAGGCACTCAAATATCATCACAATTGTACTCTGATATTTCCTTAGGAGGAAAACAGATGTGCAAGAAGACTTTGGATGTTTTTTCAGATTGCTCACAGAGGACCTGGAAGTAAAGGGCAAGTGAAGGACATGAAATTCTTTAATAATAGCTTTTTTTCAAACTGTTTCAACAAAGATATGGTTAGAGCCCTATCTGTAGTCAAGAAAGTATTGTGGATTTGTGCTATTATGTGCATCAGCATTCTAACTGAAACAACATCAAACTCCATGCTTGAAAAAAGACCAATTTTACCACCTTATGTACATAATCTCCAGCCATTTAGAACAGATAAACTTACAATTCTGCATTCTATACTGGTGTAACGACAATGGAGTGTTTTTTTTAAAAAAAAAAAAGCTTAAGAATAGCGTTAGTTTAAAAAAAAAGTTGGCCAAGTTGAAAGAGTTCAATTAAAAATATTTTTACCATTTTAAGGTTGTAATACAAACAATGGAGCACAGAAATAAATCCCATTGATACTCTTTGTTAAGTCTAAATGTTAAAATCAAGAAGAAATCATAAAAAATTATTAGTGATTAAATCAATCATAGTATAATGTGTGTAGATGTATACTGTTTTATGCATAAGCAGTCACACTGTGCTTTTGTATATTCAGATACATGCTATCATAGATTAAAATCACAGATGTTCTGTTAGGCTCAAACCTCTCATCTGTTTTACCATATCAAAACATCCCCCTCTGTCTTTCAAGAGAGCTGACGTGAAAAAAACAACCAAGAGTACAGGGCAAAGTAAAATAAAACAAGTAAAACTGAAAGCAAATAAATTAGCAAAATGAAGTTGTCAATATGCCACTTACAAAGTTTGGAACAATTCTAGAAACATCTGAAAGTTGAGCAACAGTAATTCATAGCAAAACTGCATCATTTAATTCTTTACCTGATCCACCTAACGTGTGATTGCAAGGCCTTGCTCTGTAATTCCACACATAGCAAAAATGAGAAACATATTTAAAAAATGTACAGACAAGTAACTGTTAGCATTCAATTACACCTATAGTACAAGTGTGTAAACATCTTAAATTTAGACTCTTTCTTTTCTGTAAAAAGACTACTTATTTTCCTATGAATTGAGAAAATATACTGGTTTTTCTCACCTTCTGAAAGAGGGAAGATCTCACACTTTGAAGAAGTGATTATTAAGTTGAAAGTGATATTTTCAGGATTGAAAACGATCTCAGTAGTGCCTACGTCCATTAATAGCTCACTATAAATACCCGATCATAAGATACTCTGGGACTTTCACCATGTTTTTTTTATATAGGTTAGTTATGTTTAATAATCTGACCCGACAAATGTGTCGGCAAAAGAAGGATTTAAAAGTTCAGTTTATTTGTAAAAATATTCTTGGTTAAAAGTTTTTGGAATGAGAATTTGAGAACTATAAGTAGTAACTATTACATTACAGAAAGAAAATTCTTTAGTGCTTTCCTAACAGAGTAAACTGAAGATACTGTTAGGAGCTTACTCAAGACAGTAAGACAGTGTAAAAAGAAAAATTAAAACCAATAAAAGTAAACATAAAGAAGCAAATAAAGCAAGAACCCTATTAAAAATTATGTGTTTCTTGTTGCTTAATCAGAATTCACATATTAATATAAACAGAAAAGCAAACAAAAGATAAACATGTAGAGTCTTTAAAGGGAAAAGCACAGTTTCAGAAAGACAGAACTACGCTGAAACCTTACACTGGTGTAACACACAATAAGCAGGTGAACGAAGGACACAGACACCTAGTTATAATAGTGAAGGTAGGATGGAGTCAGACTTCGGTGTGCTTAATTCACAGAGAATTCCTGACAAAGAAATGATGATGGCTGTGTCTAAATGCAAAGTGGAAATAGTTCTTTGCTGGAGGAGATCTAGGAAGAGCACTTTAGTTTAAGAAAACAAAAGTGCTGAAGCAGTCAAGGAATTGAACTGGACTGCCACTCTGGACCAACAGGGAAACAGGGAAACAGATAACATGGCAGGTGGTCATAAGGGAGATTTTATCACTTATTCTTTACAGAAATTACTTGGGGAAAAAAATCCTCACAATAATCAGAAAATCTGAACTAAACCCTGAAAAGATGAATTTGCCGAGGAAGGCAGGCATGAGAAGCACCTTCTATAGATAGTTAAATGACTTCTCATGCTCCAGTCTTTGCTGTTCCTATGACAGAACATAGGCTATATATAAATCCAGACTGAAATCCCCAAACTTACTACCTACTAGCTTTCCACTCACATGATTCAGCATGCTCAATACTTCAAGTTCTTTAACTGTACTGTTTCTCTCAGAAAGCGCAGACTATTTTCATTTTCCATTAAGACATATTTTGTGATATTCAAGTAACACATAAGTGACGTTTACATATTAGTAATATTACCAAAGGCTAAAACCCTAGCTGTATCTTTTATAGATTGTAAAGATGCTAATAATAACACACACTTATTTAAGACAAAATATTAAGGATCAGAAAATATTTGCATGCCCTCTTTTAATATAAAAATGTCCAGATGTTTCTTTTACGCAGTATGTTCCACTTCCTCTGTAAACAAACAAAAAGAACAGGATCTTATAAAGTCTGTATCTGAACTGTCCAAAGTTAGTCATCCAGCTGGCAGAGCAACGCAACACCTCGCTTGATCCAGTGTTGAACTGGTTTATCCGTGTTAAGTGTCAAAGCAATGACGAAGTTAGTAGAATGTCCAGTAGTAGATAAGATTCCTTTACGCTCGCTTGTCTTGTAGAGTGGGCAAACATAGGCAATAGATTTCTTTATGTCCGATTTTGCAGCTTCAAAAAAACCCCAACATAATATATTAAATTCAGCAGATTTGTTAAAAAATTCTGTTTCTACATAATCTACACACAAACATTAAGTATTTACAGTAACATCCCTAAAGCTAAATGAAAATGCAAAATTTTTGTTTCGTGAGTACCACAATAAAATTATGTAGCTTTTTTGTGTGGTTTTTTTGTGTTGTTTGTTTTGGTTTTAAACCCAACTAATTTAACTACCGTTTGTTTTCAGGACTCTATGCCTTTCTGTGATTCTACCAGTTTTGTAATCATTCAAAGACACATTAAAATCTGCATAGTTACATAGTTAAAGTATAGTTTCAACATGAGCTTTCAACTGCTCCAGAAGAATTCTGGTCCAGCAGCCATCGAACCTAACTGCAACCCAAGCCACCCGAGATCCAAGGACACAACTCTGCAAGAACTGTTTGTATGCCTAGACTGCTTACATGCAACTTGTGCAAATCTAAAATCATGCATGTCTGAACAGATTCATCCAACCTCAAGAGAAAGCACAGGCAGAAAAAGGGAAAACTTTGTAAGGCTGCCTATTAGTTAATAACATCTCAGTTGCAACATTTGCAGGAGAAAGTCTTGCTTAAGTGAATAAATAAAAACAGGGATTTACTGCTCCTGATCAAAGAAAACAAGAGTTATGGAAAATATCTTACTAGTATGACAGACAACTAGCATAGCAGCTAAAAATAACCTAAGAAAACCTTGCTAAATCGTGTGAGGTAAAACACTGAGTCTCTAAGTTAATTAAAAGTTCTCCTCAACCTTGAATAGAGTCAGCAATTCAAGAACCACGTGCTTTCCTACCCAAATTAACTTTTGGTTGAAAAATAGATTGGGCGGCACCTAAACATATTATTAAAAAATTTATTTAATTAGTCCTTCCATCTAATCCATATAAACATCTGTGGGGGATGGGCCTGTTGCTCACATGAGATGAGACTGAGTCAAGCTAGCAGGCCCAGTTTTTTAATGTAAAAGTTATAGGTCAGATGCACATGAATTCTGTGCCCATTTGGGTACTTTGTGAGGGTAGGAGGATTGATCTTCTGCAGAAAAAGAAGTTCAGTGTTGCAATTTCTTGTTCAGTAGCTTGCACTTCAGAGAAAATATACTCACTTGGCTTTATCCAAATGATTGGCATTGTATCAAAGAGCAATTTGGGATACTGCTCAGCTAACAGGCCCCTGGTGAGAGAAAGCAACAAAGTAATTATTTGTTTTGGTGTATGTTTTTTGGTTGTTGCTTGCTTGTTTTT